CGTTGTATTATTATTTCTTGTATGAATAAGAGAAGGGGGAGATAAGGAGGAGGAGATTGTTGGGCGAAGAAGAAGAGCCTTGTCATTTGTCAATGGTGGTGTACATCATCATGCCCATAGACTGAATGCCTTGCAGAGTTTCGCGCCTGCTACTAAGTCTGTGTGTGCACGCTTGCTGGACTGCATGTCTGTCTGAGTGCTGGTTGGCTTGAGTGTGTGTGTGGCCCGCAAGGGCACTTGCTCGTTCATTGGGCCCTCAGGGCCGGTACTTACCTGTGGCCGTGACATTGAGGGATTGCAGCAGGAAAAACACTCGAGTAGCGGGTAGGCCGGTATCGCACCCTGAAGAGGTAGATGTGTGGGTACTGGAGGCCGAGCAGAAGAAGACAAAAGTGGCATTTTTAGAGGCCCAGTAGTTGTAGGTTAGGTCTAGGCGGATACCAGTCCAACCAGTCTGGGTCTAGGGCCTGTACGGGCAATATCAGAGTCTGCAATGATGTTTCCCTCCGAAAGGGAGGAGGTACCGATTGCTTGGAAGGCCGAGCGGCCTGGAAGTCACTGCCCAAAGAGGCAAGCAGGCCGCTATATCTCCGAGCCGGGCAAAGAGCCCGGCCTCTTTCTCGGTGTGCAAGTTTGGTGACACACTGGTTGGAGCAGCGCTATCCAGGAACAGCGCTGTTGGGGGAAGGAGAAGGACACGGAGGAGGAAGAAGGACAGGAAGGGGGAGGAGCCCCACGGGTATTTACCTGGCTATGGTGGCAGCCATCTTCATCACCTTGGTGGGCGCTGCAGCAGGGAGTCCCCAACTGGGGAGAGCCACACCAAGAAGCTTCAAGGCAGAGTTGGGCATGGCGGCCTGAGTGAAGCAGCCATAGCTGCTTTGGGTTGTCCTTTGGGCATCTGGGCAAGGCCTAGTAGTCCGCCATAGCCTCGGCCTATGATGAGGAAGGGAGGAGGAGGCGGCCATGGCTATGGTGGACCTCAAGTGGTACCGGCAGTAGAAGAGGAACTCGGACATTGATTCTGGATCAGCCATTCAACGTTGTATTATTATTTCTTGTATGAATAAGAGA